GGAAAACACGTACCCTTCAAAGGCATGCCCCCAGTGATGCGCTTCCTCCAACCGGGCTCCACTTCCTAAAAGCCCATGCACCTATGAACTCATCACAATCTAGTCCCTTCTGAAGATCCACACCTCTGAACATGAAAGCACTGAAAACAAAGCTCTCAAAATATGAATCAGTGGGGAACACTTCATACTTAAACCATAACAATAGTTTAATAATTTTTAATATTTTTTCTATGAGACTTCTTTTGTTCAAATGATGAAGTGTCTGCCTCCAGTTTTGTTTACGGGTTCTAAACTATGGACAAACACAGGCCTTGGGCAGTGCAGATGGACGCTAGCAAATGTGACTCTTGGAGAGCACTTAGTGCCTGGCACATACTGAGCTCCTTCATTTTATCTTTTACTATTTTTAAACAAGTTGCTATTTCTGAAGCATATTTGCAAATATTGTGTTTTGCAATGAATGGGCAATCCCAGTATCAGCACAATGTGGCCTTATTCTTAAAATAAGATTCCCATGGTCATGGGGGAACAGACAGCAGACCAATAATTACAGAAGCATGTGATTAAACAGACCTAGTTTTTTTGTCTCCCAAAAATCTCCACTTCCATATCTTCCTCACCCTTTTTCCCATTCTACAATGATTTGGTTATACCTAGTCTCAGCATCAGTTTGTACTGCATCCCTGTGTTCTTGTTACTTCCTGATAGTTTAGCTTCAACTAAACTAAACTGGCTTACCCTAGATGAAAGTATCTCTGCCTCTAATACTCCTGTCTGCTGCTGCTGTTACAGCTGTATCTGTTGGGAATGCATCACTGATTTCCAAGGCTTCATTCCACCAGTTTCATAGTGTGGCTGATGGTACTAGGGTTTGTACAGAAATTAAATCTGTCAGAAGAACTTTCCAAGGTGATTATTCCACCAGTTTCAGAATGTGGTGGATCTGGGCTGTGGCAATAGAGGTAGCAAAGTCACAGAAAAAGACATTTTTCAATTCATTCCCCTAACCTGTAGACCCTTAGGTCATTCCTTCCTCTCCTCCTTCTCCTAGCCTCCTGTAGACTGGTTACACCCCATGAGCCCTTTTGGCCTCAAATACCTGGAAGATGAATACAGTTCCCATCTTTGGGGTTCTGTTGAATAAACTTGTTCTCTTTGATCCATCTCAGTGTGTATAAAGTACACATCCCTGAAGGAACAGTCAAGTTGCACAGAGGATGCAGTATCAGCAAAAATTCATTAGTGTTGTCAGTTATAGACTTATGTGCCTCTGGTCACATGATGGATCACATGACACAATATCAGCCAATTAGAGCCTTCTACTCTCTAGTCCCACCCACTCCCAGCACCTTCTATCTTGATTCAGTGGAATGCTCTAGCACTGATATATGGAACTTAAGCAAGCAGAAGCACAAATAAATGGATGTGAGAGCTGAGTTCTCTTCTGGGGGGATCCTAGTTGGGGCCATGGAGTGAGAGTCTTGGAACAGTCTGACCTTGCTCTTTCCTGATTCTGTGAGTTGCCTCTGCTGCGTTTCCTAAAATCATAGAGTGTGTGTGTTACATTTATGACTTATGACAGTGGTACCTCGGCTCATGAACTTAATTTGTTCTACAGTCTTGGAAAAGATGGCCACATTTATGTTTATGTGGGAAAGCTGCCACAGTCGTGTTTGCTACCCAATGCAGTGTGCAAACAAAAACAAAATTTTGTCAAACGTTTCTGTTTGTGAACCACATGGTTTGTGAACAAAAGCGTTCATGAGCTGAGGCACTGCTGTATTAGTTATATAAAATATTTTCATTTCTGTCAATAAAAGAACTTTATTAACTTCATCTGAAGGATGAGGTAACATTCTGTTGTTCTTGTAGAAGTCTCAACAATCAGTGTCCGTTACAAGAACCAGAGGACAGAGACCATGCTACTCTGGGTTGTACAAATGTCAATAGAAGTTTAGTCTCTAAATTTGTTTTCTTAAATCCTTTTCTAAAATGTGATAATCACATCACAAATCAAATAATAATGCAGCTGAGTTGACGGCATTTTAGTTAGAATAGACACGTTCCAATCACCTGGGAAAACTCTTCTAACTTTGATTTAATTTAAGTACAAACTTGGTGTCACTAGCCACAGATCATCTGAAGAAATCTATGGATCCATTCCAGGTTGCTTTAGAATAATTTCTGTTTTGTAAGAAAGAACTTTATCTGAACTTACCCCTATATCTTGGGGGAACCTTACAGGGACAAAGAGAAGTTATCAGGAGTCCTGGAATCAGAGAGCTTTGTTCCTGTCTGTACCAGGGCTGGGGGCACTTGCGGATTTCTTTCCCACTCTCTGAATTAAACATTAATGTCATGATGCCCACACATTTTGGATTCATGCAAGTCCTGTCAATGGAGGTTGTCAAGACAGTGGTTAATGGCTCTGATCTTGAGCATTTTAGATTTAAGAGGTTTAAAAAAAATCCACAGTATTTGAGAGTTTTCTCCCCCACCAATACTGTTTAAAATGCCCACATCCAAGAACACATCTCCAAGGCAAACTCTCAGACCAGCTCCTCAGAAAATGATGAATTTGGATTAAGTGGCAGTGAGGTTGCCTGGAAACACGTTCTTGGATCTGATGCAACTGTACTGGGTGTCAGCAGAAAGACAGCGGCTCTTGCTTCTTAGAAAGCACCTCTGAACCAATTTCTGACCACAGATTGACCTTAACAGGACCTCCGTGGGGTTTCCATGGCAGTTCCTTGACACAGTCAGGGGCTGAGGTTAAAGTGGGACAGAATCTCATGGAATGTTCTTCGAGAGGTCAAGCAATGAGAAATCTTATAAATGATCATTGAACTGAAATAGAAAGTGTCCTAAATCTATTTTTTTCCTGCAGATACAAAAAGCTTATAAATATAAAAATGCTGAAAGAGATGATTTTAACCTCCCACATACCACATTACACATCCTCTTTTAAAACTTCCCTCCAAGGCTCATTACCTTCAGGAAATTATGCATCCAAAGGTGTCAGTTAGGGTATTTTTGGTTTTGAGAAACAAAAAGATACCTGCAGTGGACTTACTAAAGGGAATATATTGGCTCACAAACCGAGACATTCCAGTGGTAAATTAAGGCTTTGAGCAGAATTGTAATCTTCATAATTTTCTCAGTCTGATCTCCCTTATGTCTCTGCTGTCAGGCTGGCTTTCCTCTTGGCAAAGGGAAGCCAATAATTCCAGACTCAGATCTGCTTCTGGTCCTATGCGTAGTGAATCTTTGTGTTCCGGAAATCCCCTTTTAATCATTCTGACTGGACTGGCTTCCTTAGGTGTGTGTGTGTCCTTCCTGAGCTCAGTTCTGCTGAGAGGCAGAATGCACTGATTGAGTTAGCTTCCAGGGGTCTCTTATTCCAACCCTTGATCTGGCGGTGATTTCAGCTTCCTTAGAGCCATACACACTCCCAAAGGGAAACAGCGTTCCCAAAGGCAAATGCAGGGCACTTGTTTTAAGAAGTCACCAGAAAGTGAAGGCTACTAATTAACTCTTCCTAGCCTCAAATTCACTTAAAATTGGATTCTTCGCTCCCATTCAATGCTTTCTGTGTTCCTCTTTTCTATCAATGATATTTTCTGTCCTTAGTCTTGTTTCAGTCTACTCTGTATCTCAAGTACAAGCGTGAAGCCCAACCTTAGTATATCAACAAAGTAACAATTTTGTTTCCAATCTGTGGGATGATGATGAAGATGACAATGTTAATGATTGATGATAATGAAAAAAGAAGAAAAATCCTTGAAAAATGTTTCCCACTTCACCAAAACAAAAGCTTGGGGATTAATCTTGACGTTCATGAGATCATAGAGATGACTGAAGACTGCAGTCTACAGGTAAGAAAAATAAATTTATCTCTAGCCCAGGAAAGATTTCCAAAAGTTGAAGTGAGTGAACTGCATAGAAATTCAGATTATATATAATTTTTTTCTTTAACTGATGAAAGTCACTTATAGAAACTCAGCTGATTGCATCTTCCTAATCAGTCATATAAACGATATTTCTTAGACAAGTTTTATAAGTAAAGATACTTGTCAAACACTTGACTAGACCACATTTATTTAAAGTGATGAAACAGAAAGGCAGTGACTGTTCTCTGTGAAACCTGAATCTCACAGACTCAATTTGTTATGAGTCACCCGGCTCCCTTTGCTCAATGCCCTTCAAACAAACCATGGGTGAACATTTTTGGTGAAAAAGAAAAAAGGCTTTATTTAAAACTAGCTCCAAAGAGATGGAGGGGACTTGTATTGCCACAGTTCATAATTTCACTGTGTCCAAGTGTGCAGGGGCCTTTCACAGTAAGGACCCCGAGGTGGGAGGGACACCATGAGACTGTAGACAGCCCCAGGCTTGCTTCATCTCTTCTGCCCTATCCTGCTCTTTTCCTTCCCTGTGAAAAGGAAACTGCACTCTGACCACCTGGAGCCAACATCCACAACATCTATCCATTCATCCGGGCTGAGGAAAGATGGATGAAAGAAGGGCCCAAGGAAATGTGGAGAAACAGCTTGTCTCTAGAGGAAAACATTCTAAGTCTTAAAGTTACAAATTCACAGTATGGACCATCAACAGATGCACAGAACAAAGCAATGTGACCATGGTTTAAACACTGATTGCTAATGGATTAGTCATTTCCGGTTCCACAATAACATCACTCCACCACCACCACCAACATGCAGCACCACAGAAGCCTTCATTCTTTTCAACCCCCACCACCATGACTTATATCTACCATCAACCCCCCCTACACCAATATCAACCATCAACACCACGGTCAGCACCAACCTTTACCACACCATTAGCACCAACCACCACTGCCAACACCAGCATCATCAGAATCACCTAACATTGCCGCAGTCATCACCACCATCACAACCACACTTATCTTACATACTTATTTTGCTTTTCAAAATAGACTCACACACATGACCTCATCAGATTTTATTTACTTAGTATGATTGGCTAATCTGGCATGGTTCTCTCACTTTACCTATAGATGGAGTTCCAGAGAGGTGGCATAGTGTGCACACAGACAGGAAAGCAGTGATAATCAAGCCCAGAGTGGAGTCCAGGGCTTCTGAGTCCAAAGAAAGTGTATTTTCCAATGCACTCCACTCATTCAATTAAAAAGAAAAATCCCTAACTTCTGGTATAAACAACTGTGGTTATGAATTCAATGGAGTCAAAGTCTTTAAAAATAAGTGACCCTTTGGTCACATCTATCCTAACTTTCACAGGTTCCAGGTGAACACCAGCCCCTCAGACTTTATGTGGCCTATCTCTAGAAGGTGAATTTTTAATCTAAAGCATGTAACTCCAAATTGGCCTTTCCATGACAAGAAACCACCCATTTCCTCAGAATGTCCTGGATTCCTCTGAGCACTCTGGATGCATACACCTTTCCCCCCAAAGGCTTCACTAGAGGGCAAGTATGACTTCTGCTGCCTCCAGCCTAAAGCATCAGAAAGCTTCAGAGCGATAAGGGCTGCTGGCAGAGCATACTCATCATCCGGATGCACCATAACATGGTGATGCTCTTTCAGTTCTGTTCAAAGGCTCAAGACCTCTCTTCAAGTTGCAGGAAACCCAAAGATACTCCTCCTGAAAAAGGTTGGAGCCTCCCCTTGGAGATCTGTAGACTGACTTTCAAGGGATCTCCCGGACTCTCATCTGGGGCTTGCTGTTTCTGCACTTTGACACCAGGCAGGCCTGGGTAGCTGTAGGACAGCTGGGTTGCAAATGATCACTGAGGAACATTTGGCCACTTTGCTCTGGAGCCCTTTCTTTCTTAGTTTAAGGGTCAAACTGGAGTAATAAATATCTTCCAAGGACTTATCATTCTTCCTGAGGATGTTGCTGGCCAACTGGAAGAGGAAAATCACCCCAAAGATGCCGATGATGGTGAGGATGTACCCGGTGGCCCTTGTTCCCTCCAGCAGCCACAGAGCCCTGGTGGAGTTGGTGCTGTTCCTCTCGGCCATGGGGTCATTCAGGAGAGAGGTGGTGCTTGTCTGATTGGAGGCTCCCAGGGGCATCCACGTGGTAACTGAGAAATGCAGAGGTCTAGATGAGATAAAGCATTTTGGGCTCAGGACCTCATGGCCTAATGAAGTCTCATATTCAGGTGGGACTGGTGTCAGCAACCAGCAGGGACTACTTAAATTAAGGGGCATTCTTTACAGAGTAGGCAAGAGCCTGTCAACCTTTTTGTCAACATACTTTTAAAAAAAAATCTAGAGCTCAGAACACAAAGTTCTAGAGTGGGAGATGAAACATCATAAAGATGTCTATCTCCCCAAATAATCCATACATAGACAAACTATCCATTTAGAAAAAATGTCAACACTAAGTAGGAAAAATATGGGGGGAAAAGAGTGATGAGTGAATTGGCCTAACCAGCAATTTAAAACCAGCCAACCAAATACATTAACTTACATTTTCTTAAGGGAATGAAGTTAGTAAACGCTCAGATAGCTGGGCTTTGTACCGGGTTTGGAAGAATCTTTAAAACCAGGTGCAACTTGCCCTCCCTGTCTTTCTATAAAACTACAGCTGTGAAAACAATGTGATGATACAAGGGAAAGAAGAACAACGGAGTAGAGAAGACTCTGTCTGTAGTTGAGAGACTGCACCTGGGTGATGATAAAGGGACACTTCTGACCAGTAGGGAGCTGGTGTTTTATTCACTACGTAGCACTGGTGCAGTGTAGCTTTCCTCACTATTGCTCCTTGAATAGTCCAGATAAAGCAGAGATATTAACATAAAAAGTAAAATAACTAAATACTAGGAAAAACTAGGGTGGAGTTTTCCTTCATTATCTCACGCATATAAAATCCTTTCCAAGCATAACACAAAAATACAGAAGAAAGAATAAAAGAAAAAGTTAAATTCAAGTATACTCTATATTTGTTAAATAACTGCATACTATAAAATCAAATGACAAAGGAAAAACTGGAGAAATATTGCAATTTGTATGACTCATTTGCTTAAGAACTGTCAATTCTGTAGGAAAACAATGTCTTAAACCCCCGTCGAAAAATGTCCTAAGGATGTGGACAAATAGATTATAGGGGAAAAAAGAAATGTGAACATAAAGAAACTTCCCTGACATCACTTCTATGGAAAAGGAAAATTGAAACTGAGATGACATTTTGTAACCCATGAGGTTTGCAAATATAACGTTTCAAAATACACAGTGAAGAAACACCTCCTGAGTAATGGAGACTTTGGATAATTACTGATTAAATGTAAATGCATATGCAGTGTACATGCGCACGGCCCACAGACATTACAAATGCACTTACCTTCAACCCAGCAATCTACTTTAGTAATATGTCTGATGATGCTCTAGAATATGTCTGAAACAGTGAACTGACAAACAGTCCTTTGTATTTATGGGTTCTGCATCCCTGAATTCAAACAGCCACAGATCAGAAATATTCCAAAAGGAAAAACAAAGTCAATACTGAATGGGGACAGACCTTTCTTCCTTGTAGTTATTCCCTGGACAGTACAATATAACCACTATTTACATGGCATTTACATTGTATGAGATATTGCAAGGAATACAGAGGTGGTCCAAAGAATATGGGAGGATTGCATAGTTTGCATGAAAATATTATGGTACTTTGTGTAAAGGATTCGAGCATCTGCAGATTTGGTATCTGTGAGGGTCCTGGAACCACTTCCCAAGGATCCCAAGTGCTAAGAGTTAAACACTACAGCCTGCTTGGGCTGAATAACGCTTGGGATCAGCTTGAACACTGGGAGCTGGTTGAATACATTTTGGAGAGCTGGATGTGATGGTGCAGACCTGCAATCCTCACACTCAGGACTGCTGTGAGTTTAAGGCCATCCTGGGATGCAGCAGTGAGTTCAAGGTCAGCCTGAACTACACAGCAAGACCTTGTCTCAAAAGAACTGAAAGTGAGTGAGTAAATTTTGGAATTTCCACACCATGAAACACAATGAAGCCATAAAGAGATTTTTAGGTACAAAATAATAATAGTTTAAAAAAACAAGCGGTTATGTAGTGACATAATGCATGTTAAAAAGGGGGGTATATTTTATTTGCCTGAAGTTTGTCTATATATATGTGTCAGTCAGTTTTCCTTCTTTTAACAAATACCCAAGATAAATTAATTTATAAAGAAGAAGAGATTCTGCCCACCTCATTACAGCTGATAAACAAAAGAGAAAGAGAAAAAGGCTGGAGCCCCAGTGTCCTCTTCAAGGCCACGCCCCCCGTGACCTAATGTTCTCCCATTAGACTCCACCCCTTAAAGGTTCTACTCCTGCCCAACAGCACCACAGGCTGGAGTCCCAGCTTTTAACACATAGCCTTTGGGGGACATTTCTGCAAACAATAACCCTGGGAAAAATCTCTGAGAGAACTCCCAAGAAATTGGTCCCATAGTTACCTCTGGGGAAGAAGATGTACTTTTCACTGTGTGCCTTTTGTACTATGTGCACCCATTTTTTAAAAAATTAATTTTAAAAGGCACAATTACAAGTTGGTACTTTTCTGTTCTCCTTGGTGAAGTGCCCCTGGGCAGAGACGCTGTGTCCTTGTCAAGTCAGAAGATAAAGATCTCAATTGCTGTTTAGTTCAAAACTCTGTTCCCTGCTTGGGGAGCCAGGGAAGAAAATGAAACAATGAAAACCAGAAGGGTCGTTCATGATCTTCCGAGACACTTTCCAGTGGAGCTTTACTGGTGGCAGCGCCCTTTGCTCGCTCTGGAGGAGCACAGGTCTATTCAGATTTGTCATGAGCTGAGCAAAGGGGCTCCATCAGTACCTCCTACTTCATCTTTGTTTGTTGCTAATTCATTTTTCTAATGCAGGAGCCGGAGAGGTCAGTATTTTTTTTATTATACTTAATTGCCAGAATGAGTGAATAATCCTATTAGTTTTAGATGAAAGGAGAAGCTATTTAAAAATAACTCTCCAAACCACATGTGACAAAGCCTAGAATAATTGAACAGATTTAATTACATAAACTAGTCACTCATAAAAAAGCAATCCGACAATCATGGATTTTATAACACTGTCAGTGGAATGGCTTCAGACCTTAAAGTCTTAAACGGGGAGGAAACTGCAACTCAGCCCAACAAGAGACAGTAAATCTTAATTATGACAATAGAATGTTCCGGAAATTGCTATAGAATGATGTAAATATATTGAGGTACAAAATAAAATATACTTGACTAAGAATATAGGATATTCACTTACTTTAAAGGAGCACATTTTCCACATGAAGGAAATTCATTAATTATTGCAATGCAGTGTACTTTTTTTTTAAAAGCAAGAGATCATATCTTAATGCATAAACACATCCTACAGCAGAGATGCCCCATGCAGCTTTTGTTATTTAATGATGGGAAATAAGCAATTCCAGAGCTGCGTTGGGGCAGAATACCCACCTTCCATGAGCTGGGCTTGACCTTGACTCTCAGCAGACAAGTCCCAGCTTCTGCCCTGGGAGAGGAAGAGGAGAAAAAGAGGCCTCCTTGCCAAAGACTACGGTCCCTCTGCACATGGGGTGCCCTGAGATTTCTGAGCACCACCTAAGTACTTCAGGGCAGCACGGAACAGAAACTTAGCAGACAGCAAGTGGATGAATTCTCTCTTAGTTAACCAGAGCTTCCCAGTAGATCTGTCTCCTTTCTCTTGGTTCAGAAGAAAAAGTATCTCCTGGCACTGGTTAGTTAAAAATGTCTACACTGAAAACATGCTGGTACGAGGCAGTCTCCGGCCCTCCCACAGCCCACTGAGGCCTGCAGTGGCAGGGAGCTCCCGCTAGACTGGCCAGCCAGCTTAGAAGAGCCTGGACAGCTCCTGAGCTGCCCTGGTCTGTCCCTGTTGCAGGTGTGGTTACAGGTGTGGCCAGGACCACGTGTGGCAAAGACCCACAGTCTCAGAGACAGGAAAGTTCGCGGTAGAGTCACCAGCTTCCTCTTGGACAGTCTCCTGGACAAGGACACTCGGTGGGCAGGAGCAGGTCCACTGGACTCTCTGTGAAACACCGCTCTGCTCCTGCCAAACATGGATAGAGCCACAGAACTTGCTGGAATCGAGGCAGAACAGGCAGGCAAGGCCTGGAACTGGACTTGGAGGAAAAGATCCCCAAGCTCTACAGCCTTGCTTCCCAGGCCCATTTTCCTCAAACCCTCACTCTTAAGTCCAGGCCCTGCCACACTTGTGAAGGTTTTTAGCTTTTAAGATGTAATTAAATTTTCACCTTGGGGGGGGGCTAGATAATTAAATTATAAAAATAATCCATGTGACTCAGTAATTTCATTCCCTGGTTTGCATTTAGGAGAAATGAAAACATAAGTTCACACTGAAACTTGATCACAAACTTTTACAGCAGCGTTATTTATAGGAGTCCCCATATGGGGAAAATACAAATGTCCACAAAGGGGGGAACACATACACAAAATGTGGGATGTTCAGATAGTGAAGTTTTAGCAATAAAAAAGAATGAAGTGTCCACACATGCTACAATATGGGTGAACCCTGGGAACATTGTGCTTGGTAAAGGAAGCCAGTCACAAAGGACCACCTATGGTATGATTTCATTTAAATGAAATATCAAGAATAGGCAAGGGGCTGGGGATTTAGCTCAGTGGCATAAGCACCTGCCTTGCAAGCGGGTGGTTGTGAGTTTGATCCCCGGTACCGATTAAAAAAAAAGTGTAAAAAAAAAAAGAATAGGCAAATGTGGTTGTCTACCACAGATTCGTGGTTGCATGAGGTATGGGTCTTAGAGGGGTGATAACTATGAAGCGCAAGATATTTTGGGGAGGTAACAAAATTTCTAAAACTGTGCCACTAGTTGCATAAGTTATAATAGAAGTCATTAAATGTATACTTTAATGGATAAGTCTTATGGTATGTGAATTATTTTTCAATAAAATCATTAAAAGTTATAACCATTAAAAGTTATAATGTAACCTATATTAAAAGTTATAATATAGGTAAACCATAGAATATTATGTAGCTTTGAGAAAGAATGAAAAAGCCATTTGTCTATTGATGT